GCGACTTAAGAGCTCCAGAAACTTGCGTAAGAAAAAGAACTCAAATTATTTTGAATTCCACCGTAAAAATGAACACCATCACCTATAAACAACGAGCCGCGTCAAATAGATAGGTTTAGCTGAGTTTGAATTAGTTGATCGGAGTTATGAACCAGTTGAGAGACATGCCTATTAGCTTCAGAATGGATCAGATTACCCATCCATTAACAAATTTAATAATGTTGCAAGCCAATCGAATTTCGAGTTGTGTGAATAGCAGGTCACCCAAGTCGTCGGGAGATGTGGTTACCTTTTTGTAAGGCCAGATGATGTTAACAGTTTTGTCGACTCAAGTTATCTGCAGGGGGAGTCAATATATCGGGTTACGTCCTATCCGAATTTAATTCCAAATGTTTTCAAGTGTCGGAAGGTTAAATTCATTTGATTAATTAAATATCAGATCATACAAATTACGAGTCGATCAAGTTCCGAACTAAATCATATTTACGAGTTAATCAAATCGTGCCCGAGACAATCAAGCTTTGAGTTAGGACATGGGTTAGTAATGTTTGATCAATTAATTTAAACTTTGTGAGCATGATAAACCGATCGAGTGAGCGGGTCAACCTGCAGGTTGGGTCAGATTCTGACATTTAATTAATGATTAACCAAGGACAATCAAAGAGTTGACCTTAATTGGTTCCTACTTGCTCCCGTAACTACCACTGCTCCAAATTCGTACCGCTGCTTGCTTTTTCTCTTCCTGTCGATTCAGCCGACCGAAGCAGACAAAAGTAGCAAAACAAAAAAAGTCGTGGCGGGCAGCTGCTGTTGCCGATGGTCGACGGAATTTCTGCTCGAAACTCATTGGTCTTCCTGTTTGGTGGTTCACTAGTCGCCAGTGGGGCTTCCTGTTCATTCCACCTCGATCGATCGGCCTTCCTCTGTTCTGGGGTTTCAATGTTCAACCTAACATTTTTCGGCCACTGAATTTTAGTGTGCGATGTTTAGGTATTCAAAATTGATGGCAACTGATACAGAAGAAGAACATGTTAATTGTTATAAGGTCATAGTGGGCGTTTGAGGTCCCAAATTAAATGCCAATCCAGTTTGCTGAGTGAGGTAGGTGTTAGTGGGTTGACAGTTTGATGCCATAATCAGATTATCTAGTTTTGTAATTTTTGTGTTGTTTAAACCTGGCAAATCACTATCCGAATGATCCAACCCAATTAACTCTTAGTTTTTTTTTAGTCGGGTGGGTTTTCGGGTCGACCCGTAGACATGTTTCAATTCATACGTCACTCCCAAAATGATAAAAAAACACTTATAAATTGGTAAGATATTAATAAAATTCATAATGATTTGAAACACAAATAAGGAATGTAAGGATAATCAAACATCATTTGTTTCTGGTAGCGGTATTACTTTGGTGATTCTTTTCTGACGATTTTGTGCAATTTGTATTTCTTTTCATTAGCATAGAAGGAATTTGCGCATTTGTTAATTGACACGTGCTAGGTCAAACTATTGTCATACATATGAGAAAATTTGTGTTCTTTTAAAAATTTACGAAACACGTTTGATATGATTTCTGAGAAAGATCATAACCCGAAATGACCCGAAACCTGATTTTCTTCAAGCTTCTTTCTGATACCAAAACTCAAAACACAGTATTTACCACATTGTCACCTACATATTTCAGCACTTCAATGATTCATTGAGATTCAGACACACTGTATATGGCGACTAGAACCGATCATGCTTGCTTGCTAGCAGATTAGTTGCTGTTTTTTTCTTCTTCCCCCCAAAGAGATTAGTTGCTGTGTTGTGTGAACCAAAGAAACGAGGAAGAAGGGAAGGTGGGGGGCACTGTGTGGACAAGGGAAAGAAAAAGGAGAGAGCAGATAAGGAAAGATCAAAGGCTTCCAAAATTCTAATCGGAAACCAAAGGTAGATCCGACCTAGCAAGCTATTCCTTTTGCTTTGGTTTTTCTCCCTTTGTGGGCTTTGTTTTTACAATCCAAAGTCGAAACCGAACACCCTTTTTCTTTTGGCTTTGAGAAAGAGGCCGGGAAATAACAAAGAAGATGAAGTAGTAGAAGAAGAAAAAGCAGTTAGAGATGAAATAAAAAGTAGAGGTTGATGCTAGCTCGTCGTGTTGAGATGAAGTTTGTGAAGAGTGAACTTCATATGCAATGCATACAAATACAATTAGGGTTCAAAAAGGACATGCTTAAATTTACGTTTAGGCATTAGGTAGTAGATTTTTACGAGATCCCGTATAACGTACAAGTACAACCTTGACCGCACGAGGAGGGGCTGGACCAACCTCCATTCCTAGAGGAGTACCAAAACGCTTTGTTAAGTGCTCTACAATGAGTTAGGTATCCAAAACATGGTGATGGAGTAAGACCACACTTGACCGAAGTTAGGCAGTCAATAGCACAAGGAAAAATTAACAGCATCTACAAACTCAATCTCCTCTTTGTGTAATATTGAGCTGCGATTCTATGACCCCGTGAGTTGTTTTTTCTTATTGTTAAGTAATACGTCAGTTAATTACCATTCGAACTGAACTACGAAATTGTTGTGAATTATCAAATTGTTGTAAATTGCTGTTTCCCTAGGGAAAATTAATAACATCTACAAACTCAATCTCCTCTTTGTGTGATATTGAGATGTGATTCTATGAACCGGTGAGCTATTTTTTTTTTACTTTTCTTATTGTTAAATAACACGTCAGTTAATTATGATCATTCGAATTGAACTGAGAAATTGTTGTAAATTGCCTTTTTCATTTATCAAATTTAGTACAAACTGCTATTTTTGTTTCTGTCGTCTAGACACCGCCACCTAAACGAGCTAGATGTTAGACAAGACTTCAACGTTTGTCACTTTGCCTTACGCCTGGTGTGCTGACCCTTGCATATAATTAACCAGGGCCGGCCTAGAGGGTGTGCTGGCCCGCCCTCCGGCACAGGGCCTCCGAATATTAGGGGCCTCCACTTAGATCCGTTAGTTACCGATCGTACATTGTAGATTGTATTTTTAGTATATGATTGATTGATTATGAGTATGATGACGATTTTAATAGATAATTTTAGCTATAATAACAATTAAAAATGATATCATGAAGACTACGAAAATAAGAAAGATAATAGATAATTTTATGGATAACGTCTATTTTTTATCCAGACCTTTTTCAGATTCTTTTATAATATCCAAACCTATCGAAATACTAAAAATTAGCCGAATGTTAACTTTCGGTTAGCATTTTTGTTAGTAATATTGACTTGACAACATGATACTGACTTGGAAGAGATACATGAAGGTCAAGATTCCAAAATTTTAGTATTTTAACTAAGAAAAGAGTTACAGAATTATTAACAATAACGTAAAAATGACTAATTTTTGGTGCATTATGAAAGATTTGGCTAATTAATAAATTTTTAATAGGTTTGGATAATATAAAAGAATCTGAAAAAAGGTTTGGATAAAAAATAGACATTACCCTAATTTTATTTTAAACTATGTAGAAAGATATTACAGTCACTTTAGTTTTATTATAGTTAAAAGTCAATTTAGACCACGTCTCAATTTTGGAACAAGGCCCCCACGAAGCATTAGACAGCCCTGGGAATTTGGTTTTGGTTTCTTCGTCAAACTAGAAACGTGATCATTTATTTATTTTGTAATCATTTTCTGAGACTATGTATTTTTTTATATAATTTTTATTTTTAATAAATTTGTGGAGAAAAATTTTAGGGCCACATTTTAAATTTTCGAACAGGGCCTCTGAATATCATGGGACGGCCCTGTAATTAACATAGCATTTTAACATTTTAATGATCAGCTAGAAAAATATGGTTAGCTTATTCTTTAATCAGCTACATAATCCTATATACGTTAATGACATTAATTACAGGAGCTCTTCTCAGGTTCACAACATGATCATACTTATGGTGCATCATGATTTCTAACAAGGGAGGGAGAGCTAGGCTAGCACACGACCAAGTAAGTCTCTCATTATGGTGAGGACCGTCCAAAAACATGCATATTATTTATTATATCATTGGTGGGTATGGTATGGTTCTCATTTCTCAATTCTCATCATATTTTTCATTTGCGTGCATGCTTTGCTCTTCATAGCACGCTCGGTTTGACCATAACCCTACTTCCCCCAACACTAGCAGAGCTCAGTCTATTTCTCAATGATCAGTCATCCTTCCTAAAATCATTCGACTCTGGACCGGCCATGTTCTATTCCTGAGTTCTTGATTCCTCCAATTAGGCAATATGTCGTCGTCGTCATAATAACAAGCATGGATGCAATCTTTAGAGCACTAATGCAAATGATTCTGGTGAGAAATACACATTACATATGGAAAGAGAGAAACATATGATTAGATGCATGTGGTCGCATATGACAATCATGTTTGCGTACGTTGTTACATGACTTACTTGGATGTATTAACAATTATGTTTTCTCTTGTTCATACCAATACACAACTTACTGAGTTGTATCATTGTCGACTACGCTTCATTAGGGGTCGTGATTTGGCGTAATCGGGAGCACACAGACACAACATCATGATATTTTGTGATGTCACAATCCTAACCAGAATGCCACTTAACGAAGAGCTAATTAGTCGAAGAATATACTCGATGGATTCTTGTGGTGAAAAGGTTGCTGTTCGGCGGGGCTATGATGCATGGATTTGACTAATTCATGGCTTCCCCGATTACTCTTTACAGCTTTTGATGAGATGGGGAGCAGAGTAAATCATTATTCTTGTTCTCATTCCTTCTTTTTCCAATACCCTCTCCGCCTCTGCTTTCCCCTTTTCCCTCTCCGTCATTGTATAAACAACAGAAACAGAGCCAACAAACCAGCTGCCTGCCACCTCCACTTTAGTCTTGCAGTAGATCCCAAACTAGCTAAAAACAAAACGAGAGAGAGAGAGAGAGAGAGAGAGAGAGAGAGAGAGAGAGAGAGAGAGAGAGAGAGAGAGAGAGAGTCATGGGAGAAAGCATTTGATTTCTGCACAAGCAAAGTGAAGAGACAAACAGATATGCAGGTCAACAAAAGTGGGGTTGTTCATTTCAATCATTTTTTCTTCACTCCCATCTCTCTTCTTCTTCTTCAGTTAGTCAAGGATTATCTACCACATTTTGACAAACATGGCCTTGACCTGGTCTTAAGGGCAGGTCGGCCTTGAAGAACAACATCCCAACCAACTGACAATTACTGACTGTCACCTAGCTATGGTTTCACATCCCCTTAATTTACATGATCACATCACACTCAAGATCTCTCGTATAAAAAAAAACATGGTAGCAGTTGCAGCAAAAGAACCTTGATTAGCTCCCGCGCTTGAGATGTCCTCGAATGAACCTCTCCGCGAAGTTTGGATACTTGTCCCTGATGTATGCCCGCAGGCACTTCTGATACGAGAAGTCTATCCAAGCACCGTCGGTTCTCACCACGAACAGGCACCTCGAGTGTTTGAACTGTGGATGTCGATCAACCTACACGGTAACACGAGTTCGAGGAGCTTTTGTTAACTTGAACATGCAATATCAATGTTGAACTTGAACTGGCAATGCATTCATTAGCAGTGGGCACTGGATCCAACAATTAAATGTTAGCCATTTGCAATCATGTAGATGTAGGTGGGTTTTAGCTAACTTTAGAGCTAGGAGAAGGTCGACCAGTGAAAAAAAGAGATGATTCCATATGAAAGAAACGATAAAGCAAGGGTGGTACCGGTCTAAAGGTTTCATCTATCAGTACAGAAGTCTGACCCGAGAAATCCCTCAAGAAGTTCCAAGCAAAGGGTGTACGCATGTGAAGAAAACCAACAAAGAAGTTGGGACATGTATCTATCAACTATAGCAGGGCCTGTCTAATGGTTCAAAGGGATTAAATGAAGAGCAAACCATGAGATGACCACAAATGGGAGACAGCAATGCAACAGAAGCGAACAAAAGAAATAAAGTCAAGCCAGAAGAATCGAATCAAGTTATCAACCAAATTTGCTTAGATTGACATTTGGCATCAGCCCAACAAAATCTCCAAAGCGCAAGCTGTCTCTTGTTCTAACCTGAAAACAACTATTTGGAGAAAGAACGTGCAGAACATTATGAAGTTACCATGGATGTAGAGTGATTAGAGTAGTGATGATGAAATACTTTGCACTGATCACAAGAGTTGGCAACTACTAGCGAAAAACATTATCAGTCCGCGAAAGAACAATTAACTTGGAAATCTTGCTTCTGTTTGCATGTTTGAGTAATGTGGCAACTTAAGAATTATGTAGGATGAAGCAAAATTAGTACAGTCAACTTAAACATAATATTTTTTGATGCATGAGGAACCAGTGCATTGGTGAAGCAAAATGAAGATTAGATTCTGAATTATGAATCATGAAGCGGCTTCACAGCCATTAAATATTCGTTATTTTTTTCCTCCCAGTAGGCTTGCCATGCCTAGAACTGTTGTAGCTGGGTTGCCTCTATCAAGCCCATTATACCAGACAACGTAAAGCCCACCAGTAATACTATTGATCTCATTTCATCGCAGACCCAGCCCACACAAAATGAGTATATGGGCACTGAAGAATATTGCAGACAAAAGCCCCCAGCGGCAACAAACAAGCAACCTTCTCTCTAAAGGAAGTGCTTAGGAGGCTAGGATTCGACAGTCAGCTGTAATTGTCTCGGCTACTGGAGCTTCTCAAAGTATCACCAAAGCTACCTAACAAGAACTCGTCTTCTTCATTCACCAAAAAGGAAAGAAAGAAAGAAAGAAAGAAGGGGGAAAAACTCTTGTTCTTCCGATGCGTTCGAAACTGTCTCGTCTATGCAATTCATATCATTCTGTTTTCCTTCTTTTGCTTCTAAACACGACATTGCTACAATGCCATACCCATAGGTACTCAGTCTTGACACTAATCAGCAACGAGTTTCAAAGTTCAGTTGACATGAAAAGGCTAGATTGGATCATAGAGAGTAAGAAACAGTGATGATCTATACGCCTTATCGTCATGAAACAGTTTTGTACCAGAAGCTAAGAATGGTAGTAAAAAACAATCAAATAAATCAAGCCAAGAGATGTGATAAACTGTAGCCATCTCTGAAGCCTGAACGACAGAGCTAGAACACGTCTTGACACATAAAGCAAGTGCAAAAGAGAAATTGGGAGCTAGAACTCAGTGAACATAGCAACAACCAACTGGATTCTTTGACAAACTAAAAATTTATCTTATTTATGCAAAACCAGACCTGGTAGCACCACAGGAACCTTTATGCAGTTCTATGGAGTGCAAAGCTAAGGTCTCAGGACAGTGCAGTTTCTATCAGTTCCAGTTGTATAATGCAGACAAGGGTATGTCTCAGAGCTTATGATCCACAGACAAGGGCATGCCTCACAGCTTTATGTAACTCTATGGAGTGCAAAGCTAAGTTCTCAGGATATTGCAGTTTCTATCATTTTGTAAAATGCAGACAATGGTATCCCTCAGAGATTATGATCCAGAGAATCAAGCAAACATAAAACTTACCATTATCGAATCGAGCCCACATCCAATTTTGTCTTCGGAATTCGGATGATAAGCGAGAAGCTTCTCCACCACAGCCTTCTCATCTTCAGCTTCCAGCTTCCCTCCATCCACATATCTGAAAAACATTGCAACGGACGTTAACACTTCAAAGAAAACAAGAGGCCACAAGCCCACAACACACAATCAGGCAAGTTGTCCCTTATCGTTACTCTATCAGCAGCAGTGGGAGTCAGTCATCAACGACGATGGAGATACTTTGTAATGAAAGAGATTAAGATTGACCAGTTTCTCTAAGCTGGAATCAATGGCGCCGCGCGCGGCTAATCGTCGACTAGATTCCCAATCAGAATGCAGAGGATAATATCAATACCTGTCCGAGTGGATAATGTCTTTGACGAGATAAATTATGGGCGAGATGTCGGCTAGAATCTCGTCCTCTTTCTCCCTCCATTTCCGGTAATCAGGATCGTGGACGCTGAAGTATTTGGTCCGGTCCGGAGCTCTCGAAAGGTCGCCGCTCGTCTCCGCGGCGGAGACCTCGTCGTCGAGCCGAGTGGGCCCGGCGGCGGTAGAGCACCACGTACGGCGTAGCGGCGGGAGAGTAGCGACTGCGAGGCAGTGGTATTGGAGGCGGAGCCGCAGGAGCGGAGCGCTCTTGAGGAGCAGCGATGCCGCCATTTTGGAAGCTCTTCGAGCTGGGCTGAAAAATGGAGGGTAATCCAAAACCCCAGAGCCCAGGGGTAAGGTGGGCGACGGCCAGTGGCCAGTGGGTTGAGTAAATTACATAATTGGTACCTGAAGTTTATAGGCATTGTACAATTGACAACTCAATTTTTGGATGAAACGATGTTCATGTACTTAAGCCGGAAGAATTTGTAGTGATTTTCTCCCCGAATACACAATTTACTAAAAATGTTTTCCAACATACTACATTGTTACTAATTATTTCAAACTATCCAAATTTAGACATGATGATGTGACATGTTCCTTGGTAAATCTCATTGTCGTTAGTGGTTAGTAGTGGGTCGTTGTGCTCCACCCTCCACACCTCAAACACAGCTTTATGTTACTTTCTGTTCCTTACCTTCTGCTGCACGATCAGATTTATTGTATTATAAAAGTGTTGATTGAATAATAGCAAAGGCAAGTCGTGTGCATCTTTATGGCATCAGAGCCCATAGTGCTCTAACGAGTTTTTTTGCATCTTCACATTTTTCCCCTCTTCCACCATTAAAATGGCCACCAAGTTATCTTCTCTTTCTTCTACCTCTGTCTCTGCTGCCTCTGCTTCTCTACCGGTGTCTTCCCTGTCGCTTCCTGCTAATCCGCAGCTAACTGTCATTCTGTCAAGCTCACTCCAACAAATTACCTTCTTTGGCATGCTCAAATCACACCGCTGCTTCAATGTCATCATCTCATGGGTCACGTGATGACTCTCTCTCTGCTCCACCACAACTCATTGATGGAAAGCCCAATCCGGAATATTTTCACTAGTATGATCGCGATCAATATGTTCTTACATGGATTAATCTCTCTACCTAAAGCAGTTCTGCCGAATGTCATCAACAAATTGGCTGCCTTCGATGCGTGGTCGACCCCGGAGACCATCTATCCTTCTAACTCGAAGATCCAAATTCACCAACTCACCAAGGCTCTACACAATTTTCGTCGCGGCGACGCCACCATTCATGACTATCTGCAAGCTGCCAAGACCAAGGCGGATCAATTGGTGGCTCTCGGTTCTCTAGTTATCAATGACGAACTCACGGGTTGGATTCTTGACAGATTGGGTGAAGAATATCGTCCGTTCGTTCGTCACATTAAGGTGCGCCTCGTGCCTATCATTTTTGAAGATCTTCATTCTCCTCCTTTACTTAGTGAGGAGCTCATTTAGCGTTATTCCACCCGCTTGGAATACCCAACGCGACACTTTCTTCTCCAACGCTGGTGGCTCTCGCGGTAGAGGAGGTCGTGGCCGTGGCCGTGGTCGTGGCCAATTCGGCGGTCGTTCTTCTTTTAACCCTATGTTTGCTTCGTCTTTTGGAAAGTCGAGCCCAACACAAAGAGTTCTTGGGCCCCGATCCGCTGGTTCTTTGGTGTTGTGCCACAATTGTGGTGGGCGGGGCCATATCAAACCCCATTGCCCCAACCCACCCCTTCCCTCCAACCTTGCGGCCCACTCCGCCATCCCTCCTGCTTCTACTCCCTCCTACGACCCACTTACCCACCCAACATGCCCACACATCATGCTTGCTTCCTCTCCAGCCCATGCCTTCAACTCACAACAATGGCTCCTTGACTCTGGCACAAATCACCACTTGACCTCCGATTTGGATAATCTTTCTCATCAATCGGAATATAAAGGGACGGATCAAGTCACATTTGACAATGGTAACTCTCTCATAATCTGTAATTTGGGTTCCTCCACGGTTCTCTCTCCAATACTCCTATTTCCCTGAATAATATTCTTCATGTTCGTCATGCTCCATACAATTTGTTTTCCATAAGTTCTCTCACTGGTACTAATCCTCTATCTATCGAATTTTTCGACCCTCTCTTTCTCATCAAGGATCGACACACAGGCATGAACTCTATCGAGTCTATGCGGTGGATGGTCTCTATTCACTTCCACTTCATATTTCTCGTCATCTATCACCTATTGCTTGTGCGGCTACTTTTGACATATGGCATCGTCACCTTGGCCAAGCTAATGAATGGGCAGTCAAGCATCTTCTTCATCAACTTCAAATAAAATTTGTTCCCTCATCTCCCTCTTTATGTCATGGTTGTGTTGTTAGTAAGATTCACAAACTGCCATTTTCTCCTTCCACCTATCATGCTTCTGCGCCATTAGAACTCGTTTGTAGTCATGTATGGGGTCCTGCCCCTGTTTTGTCCCATGATGAGAAATCCTATTATATTCTATTTTATTATCACTATAGCAAATTCTCATGGATTTATTTCATTCGATATAAGTCTCAATTGCTTAGTATTTTCATTCAATTTCGTCAATTGGTAGACAAATTTTTTAGCCTTCCCATCAAAACTTTTCAATCCGATTGGGGTGGCGAATACCAAGCATTATCAATTTATTTACATCAACATGACATTGCTCATCGTTCTTCGTGTTCTTATTCTCCTTAACAAAATGGATGTGCACAACGAAAACACCACCACATAGTCAATAATGGTCTTGCTCTTCTCCATCACTCCCATGTTCCCCAAAAATATTGACCTCTTGCCTTTGATACCGCTTGTTATCTTCTTAATCGCACTACTACTCCTCTACTTCAAAATGATTCTCCCTTCCATTTTCTCTTCCAACGTACACTTGACATTTCTAGTCTTCGTGTTTTCGGTTGTCTATGCTATCCATGTCTCCGTTCACTCACACCAAACAAACTCAGTCCTCGTTCTCTCCCATGCGTCTTCCTTGGCTATAGCAAACTTCGCAAGGGTTACCGTTGCCTTCATATTCCCACTGTCCATATCTATGTTAGTCGGCACGTTTTATTTGATGAGACTCGTTTTCCATTTACAGAGGTATCACCCATCGACTCGGCATCTGCCTCTCCATCCTCTTCCTTTCCCATTACTCTCCCCTCTCTACCCAACAATATTATCAACCCACTTCCACCCCCACAGTATCCTATTCCACCAATGCCCACCACTCCCGTTTCCCCTCGGCCAACCACTCTCGTTCTCTCTCCCATTCCTACTGAGTCTACTACACCCTCTCCTTCATCCCCCTCCCTCGTGCCCTCAACTAATCTGGCCCAACCCAATTGTCCACTCAACTCGAACCCATCATCCTCTTCCTCATCCCATTTTCCTGTCTCGTCCTCCACTCGAACCCTAGCCCCTCTGCCTCCACATCGTCCTCTTCCTCCCCAACCCAAATTCACCACCTCCCCTCGCCCACACACCATTACCAATCTAACCAACTCTGCTCACCCCATGGTAACGCGCATACAAATTGGCAACCTAAAATCCAAAACCTTCCTCTCGTATCTCCCTATCGACGACACACCCACCACCATCAAGCAGACACTCAAACTTCCTCACTGGCGCTCGACGATGTCGGACGAAGTCTCTGCTCAGATCAGGAATCGCACCTCCCCCCGCCCCCCAATTGCAACATTCTCTCCAATAAATGGTTTTATCGCAAAAAACTTCATCTAGACGGCACTCTTGATCGGCATCGAGCTCGCTTGATCACTCGCGGGTTTGAACAGATGCCGGGTCTGGATTTTCATCAGATTTACAGTTCCGTCCTGAAGCCGGCAACCCTTCAGCTTATACTTGGTCTCGTGGTGACACAGGGGTGGCCGCTACACCAGATTGACATGGATGATGCTTTTCTCCATGGTCAGTTGCAGGAAACAGTTTGTATGCAGCTACCTCTGGGGTTCGTTGATCCTGACAAACCCAATAACGTCTTTCGACTTCAGAAATTGATTTACGGACTTCGCAAGGCACCGCACACTTGGTTTCACTGCCTTGCTGCTACACTCAATCGATTTGGTTTCATGGTCTCTTGCACGGATCCTTCTCTATTCATCTACAAGACAGGTTCCATTCGCCTATACATGCTGGTATATGTTGACGACATCGTCATCACAGGCAATGCCAATACTCTTATTCAGCAGCTGTTTGCTTTTCTCCGAGACAATTTTTATCTTCGTGAATTGGGCCCTTTATCTTACTTTCTTGGAATTGAAGTGCATCGCTCCTCCTTTGGCATAATAATCAGTCAACGAAAGTTCATTAAAGACCTGCTCGAACGTTCCAAGATGTCCGAGGCCAATGATATTTTCTCTCCATCTACAAGAAAAGTTCTCCAGTCCTCTGCTATGGACGCTTCTCCTCTGTTCTCTGATCCAGCAACATATCGCAGTCAAATCGGAGGACTACAATATCTCAGCTTCACGCGACCAGATATTTCATTTGTCGTCAATCATGTTTCACAGTTTCAACATTCTCCAACCGATAATCATTGGGCACCTATAAAACGAATCTTCCACTATCTCAAAGGTACTCTTGATCGTGGCCTCGTCTTCTCCAAGTGACCCTCTCTTCACATACATGGCTATTCAGATGCCTCTTAGGCATTATGTCACAAGGATCGCAAGTCTATCACTGGATTGGCGGTATTTCATGGTTCAAAATTGATATCTTAGTCTACTCGCAAGTAGAAATCTGTCGCCCGCTCATTCACTGAATGCGAGTATCGTGCCCTTGCCACCCTAGCCTCAGAGGTCCTCTGGCTGCGCTCATTACTCAATGAATTGGGACAACTAATCCCATCTGCTCCTGTCCTTTGGTGCGACAATCTTGGGGCTACGTTCCTTGCACATAATCCTGTCTTCCACAACCGGTCCAAGCATATGGAAATTGAGTTCCATTTTGTTCGCGATCAGGTTAGCATAGTCGGTCTTCGTGTACAGTGCCTTCCAGCACCTGATCAGCTCGCGGATGTGATCACCAAGCCCTTATCACGATAGTCCTTCACCAATTTCTGCTTCAAGTTTCGACTCTCCGATGTGTGATGATGTGGCATGTTCCTTGTAAATCTCCTTGTTGTTGGTTGTTAGTAGTGGACCATTGTGTTACACCCTCCACTCCTCAAACACAACTTTTTGTTCCTTACCTTCTACTGCACGATCAAATTCATTGTATTATAAAAGTGTTGATTGAATAATAGCAAAGGCAAGTCTTATGAATCATTAAGACAAAGTAACTTGATTGCTAACGATTTTG